CCCCCCCCCCCCCGCCAGTTTTTGTTATTTGCAAATATGTATTTTCATTGGTTCTGTTGCTAAACCATGGAGCTCGGAAGCAATTTGTACAAAGATGATCCCCATGGCCTAGGTATGATATCTATGTTATACTCTCATCTTTTTGACCCCCCATAATACATTTCCAAGTGGGAGGCAGACTTGGGATTCCCCTTGAATGCGGAAACCTGGTCACAAATTTGGGAAACTAACAAGTCCTATTCTAGGAATGTTTTCACTCTTGAAATTGTCTATAAGGTGCTCTTTTAGGCGGTACTTTGTGCCCATGTGAGTGGCGAACATCTTCCCGGGGGTCATCCCATGTATGCTTCCGTGGTTGTCCTGTACCAGGCACGTATATTCATACATGATGTCACTGCCCGGTGGCTCAAGCCCAAAGGTGTTTAGACATGCTGCCATTATATTAGGCCGTCCTTTGGATGTGAATCCCAGCGTGGCCCCCCTCAGTCGGAAACCGAACAATGTTCCATTACAACCCTTTAAGTTGCTTACCTTTCTTTTTACAGCTGCTAAGTAACGATCGCTAGATCCTGGAAACCCAGGCACCTGAACTTTCATGAAGTGAAAAACAGGGTGAAGGAAGCTTCTTGAAAAAATAACCGCCACACAGTTGGACAGAATGCCCACCTTTCATAAAATTTGGAATTCTTGGATGAAACATTTTTTACCCCCAGGTTTCGATAGACAGAACCTGAGTATCTGAATGACCGGGTGGAATAGGCTTGGGATTGCACTAGGGCTTCTGATTGTTTCTCCCCCTGCGGTCCCCTCAACTCCTTTATCCTCTGTACTTTCTTCACTCTTTCTACCTTTTTTATTCCCTTTCCTCTTCTGTTTTTTTTGGCCCCTAGGGCCCGCTTTCTTGTCTACCCCATCTCCTCTGTATTTTTCTTAATCTGTGTGTCTTTTTGTGTTTTGTTGTTCGTTGTGTTGTTTTGTGTGTACAGGCCCTGGCTCACTCTAAGTATTTTGTACTGGTGGCATATGGTTGGATGGCCCACATTTTACATCTTTGAATCTGGGCAGTACTTCATCCCCCAGAGTCGGTCAACTCGAGCAATGGACTAGTTCTACACTTCCTCTGTCCATATGTATGTCACCCATGATTTTTCAGCCTGTCGGCACGTTTTTTTTTTCTTGGCATCAAACTAATTAATTTATGTTTTTAATATCTGCCTGCTTTAGTAGGTGTTCAGCTTTAATTTTACATTTTTAGCCTGTTACTGTCTGAGTTCTGCACATTTTAAATTATTTTTGTTTTAGTAGCAAGGAAGTTATTTTGATTTTTTGTTTTATTTTTGGCCTAGCTTGGAGCCCATGCACATTTGATTGCTGGTTGGTATAATTAGTCAGCATTATTCCGTCATGACTATAAATGCAGAAATGCCTGTGAGAACTGTGGTGTTTTAATAGCACACAGAAAATAGGAATCCTTGAAATTGTATGTGTAGTTTAACAGATTCAGATAAGCTTATATAAGTTCCATCATCTTTGTCTATGGAAGTGAACGATGGATCATGTTTAGGAAATAATTTGTGAAGGATAAACTCTATTTTCGGTACATCTTATACTGGGATCAGCCAGGATATAAGTGCCAGAGGTTAATTACAGAACCCAAGCAGTAGGATTAGCACTTGGCATGTCATTTTCACTATCATGTTCCGTCCAGTGAGTAGGCGTAGATAAGAAAAAGTGCACTTGTATAGAGGAAGATGGATCAAGACTATTCTCAAGATGCCATACTTACAACTTTAAAAAGTCACTGGTAGACAGGTAGCCATGAAAGGGAAAAGATGTGGAACATTGAGAAACATAAGAAGGAAAGTATCAATTTCAGGTTGACTGCTTGACCACCTGTCACGCGTGCAGGAAGTGAGATTAGGTCCCTCCAGTGCAGACACAGAAAATAATAAAAGCCCGGAATAGGTTATATCACTACTCAGCTTTACTAAAAATAAAAAAATCTTATTAGTTTTAAATGTGAAAAGATTTCCCCCCTCACTTCCATTATGTGTAACAAGATAGGTAGTTAGGGTAAATCTCCCCTGCTGAGGCCACCCCCTTCATCTTCCTCAGCTGCTACATCACTAGTATGTCTCTGCAGCTCTAAGGGCCCATTCACATTAGGCAGACCACTGAGGTGCGTTCACACATGTGTGGTAATGTGCATTATGTTACACGTTAATGTGTGTTTCATTAAAGCAGTATATTTTTTGAACGGGCTGCCAATGCACCAACATTATTATTATTATTATTATTATACAGGATTTATATAGCGCCAATAGTTTGCACAGCGCTTTACAATATAAGGAAGACATTACAGTCACAATACAATTTAAGACAAGATGGTAAGGAGGGCCCTGCCCGTGAGGGCTTACAATCTAAAAGCCAACATGAACCAAAATACAGACAAAAACCATTTAGTGCATTACTGTGCGTTGTGGTACACTGCAATACATGTGCATCACCTTAGTGAATTTGGATGTCAATAAAAACGAATGACACTGCAACCCACTAATGCATGTATTGGTGCCGATTTGAGCCGTGGCCGGTCCTTTTGGCACCTCCCTGCTCCACAAAAGTCAATTGAAAAATCCAAGGAGCCAGGTTGAAAATTGTTGGCTGGACAGTGACTGCACTCAATCTTATGCAGTCACAGGTGCTGGTTGTATCTCGTTAGGGGAGTTTCCTCCATCCAAGTGTTTAGAATAGATAAGGGGAGTCAATTGATTTCTCTCTGATGTCTCTTTAAATCATCTTTATATTTGGTTTAAATCGGATGTTCTTGAGCAACAAAGCACGTTGTAATTAGGCAATGCAAACTCAATAAAGACTGTAGCGTTCTCCTGACAGAATAGATAGACTATTCACCATAACATAATGGAACAAGTTTTCAGATAATGGCAATGCTTCAAACATAGTCCAGCAGTTAATCTTCCAGAGCTCAGTAAATACAGGCTTGGAAGGAATTCAGCGTCATAGACCAATAATGTCTGACCATCTGGTTAACACAGAATAGTCTAGGTTTAGAAGCTCATTCTCTGGTGCCAAGTACCTGGAATTGTTGTGCATGGATAAAATTAGGAGAAGAACATCCTGCTTTAGAAGTATTGTTATGCAAACAAAAGATCATCCATTGTCCACTCACTTAAGCGGGTGTTATGGATTATGTTTGGTGGGTGGTTATTGATTTCATGTATTGTAAATAACATTGAAGTACAAGAATGCCAGAAAGGTCAATATAATAAACATTAGCATGTGACTTTCTTACCTTCTGTTGCCACACGAGGAGGATCCTTGTGGTAGTTCTGACCCAGTCTGACCTAGAATTTTAGGGGAGTGTGGATGTACATATCAGCAATAGAGGGGCTTGGTTATCAAGCGTACTAGTTGTGTTGTTCCAAATGGGAAACGTACAGGTTCACTTTAAAGAGAAAGTATAGTCTATTTTCATTGAGAACTTATTTATATTGAATTGCTAACCTCAAAGTAGTTTTCAATGCGACTTTCACAGTCTCACATTCTTGACCTCCAGTATTTAAATGTGCTACATGCAGATATTTGTACATTAGCTATCAAATGTGGGGTAGTTTAACCATTACAACCATTCCTGATTGTGAACTTGTGCCTAGACTATGCGCATTAAAGTATTTATACTGTATATCCAAACAATCTGTAAAGACGCTTTTAAAACAAGCCCATTTACCTTTGTAGCTATAGGTATTGTGGAGAAATTCACCTTCTAAGTTCAAAACAAAGGCACTGAAATCTAAATTCCCCTTTAAAGCGGTACTAGACGCTCAGTCTCTTTTTTACATTAATTTACTGCTAGCAAGCAGTATAGTATGCCCCAACATTTATAAATGCTGCAGTGTGGCCAAACATTTAAAAATCGACCCTTTTTGGCACCATTTGGTCCTGGCTGCAGAGCACAGCTTCCTCAAATGTTCGTGTAGGAGATGATGCGTACTGGCGCATGCGCACTTGAGGTTACAGGAGAGGAGGAGTGGTTTACACTGTGAGACAATGTGAAGCAGTGTACGCACACCGGGAGCGTGCACACAGGGGTGTCTCCGTGGGACTCTGAAAGAAGAAGGAGACACCAAAGCATCGCACCAGCGCTGAGGGGACAACTTGAAACAACTGTAAGGAAGAAGATGTACATATCAAGAGGCATCACATAAGGTAAGTCTTTACACTAGCATTAAGGGGGGAAAAAAACATAGGCTTTAGAGCCACTTTAAGTCTTCATTCCCTGGTTACTTTCTATGGTGAGCAAAATCCTGGCAGCCTGCCAGGCCTACAGTGTAAGCACACAGCAGATATTTATAAGTTGTTAGAAACTGACTGAACCCTGACTTTGTTGTGATCTTTGAGAATTAATTACTTCACAGTTCATGCAGCTAGAGAGCCTTGTTTTATATTGCTTCTTAAGAATATGTAAATATATGTTAATATCCATAGACTGGACATGTGCTCTTTAGCAGTTGTTTATAGTTATAAAATACCTTGACATCTATTCTGCTAATGGTTCATTCAAACCCAACATGAAGTTTAAGTCTAGTCAACTGGGTTACCCATTGACTTCTTATATCTTTTAGGAATATGTAGTCAGTGGTGAGATCTCTGTGTCTTATTTCCTGGTCCTGTTGCTTCTTATTTTGAAATTTTGGGTGTCCAGTTCCCTAGTTGCATTCTTTATAATACACCAGCAACTCATGGTGCTTTAAAACATCCTTTTGCAAATGTGTTCTTTATGGTTTAGTGGGTGATGACCCACTGAATGAATTTCATGAATTTCATTAGCAGCTACTAAAGATAGGAAATCAATTTTGGTTGTGCTGAACCCTTAATTTAAAAAAAACTAAAACATATCCTAACTACCCAGTACACTAAATACGCATAATAACTTATCTTTTTACAGTGGGTTTGTACCAACAAGTGAAGTAAACCGCAAAATTGTGGCTGCTATAAAACAAGGTAAGTCAAAGAAGTGTTTTTAGCAGTCTCATTGATGCAGCCATAAGATAAGTCTGAACTGATGTATACTGTGTTTAGGAGAGATAACAGAACTCCAGAAATACATGCAATATAAGTATGCCCTGGACGAAGCTGATGAGAAAGGCTGGTTTCCTCTACATGAAGCAGTAGTCCAACCAATCCGGCAAATTACAGAAATTGTTCTTGACGGTAAGGCGCATAGAATAAAAACCATCCCAGGGACTTTTCTTTGAAGATATTTAAAAAACTCCAAAGGGAACTGGATGGACTTCTCCTTTGAGTTTGAAGTATTGCCAATGCTACAATAACCAATAAATAATTGTTACTAACAATAACAAATATAATCAGTGTGGGTATGGTGTTTGTGCACATACCGGACATTATGTTTTTGAGTCCTATTATGAGGATCAATACAGAAAAACAAAGAGTATCAGTATTAATTGAGTCCATATTTTCCACATGTTGTGACAGTGCTATGTTTTGTCATGGTATGATAAGGGTTAGAGGTCACCCAGGGTTTTCCTCCAGACAGATTGAGGAGCTCCAGGATGCTTGTTTCATTTGTAGAAAACTGGATTTACAGTTTTCTCCAGGATTAGCAGATCCTGGATTGGGTCCTGGAGCCTGGGGGCTTTGTAAAGTATTGGGTTGGTAGTTTGTATTTTGCTCTCAACCAGCTTCTAGATGGTGCAACTGTGCACAACCTATATGTGAGGAAGTAGGCTAAAGTTTAGGGGTCCGCCTAGGAGGGCTCCATCTAGGACACAGGTGGGCTAGTGCAGCAGGGCTAGTGCAGGAGTGTGTATGTGAGTACAAAGCATGTGTAAGAATGTCTGGAGGATACAGACAAGGGACTAGGAATGAAGCCAGACCAGTGGCGTTGCATACCAGGAGGCTGATGAGCATTTTGTTTTGTGGAAAAGAGATACTGAAAACCGCTGTGAGAGTAACCTTTAGTGTGATCTGAACTTTATTTTAACCAAAGTGGGCAAGGACAGCCCTGAAATAGGAACCTAAGCCAGTGGCTGTATCCTAAAGCTCCTACCATTTGAAGCTAGTTCTCACTAGGTTTACCCCCGTATATAGGTGAACAATTGTTGGTGGAGCTGGATTATTATGTCTCCATGGTGTCACAATATTTTCTCAGGCACCCTCACCCTTCCTAGCAAAGCAACCTATCACCTTCTACAAACTTGGGAATAGACATTTTTGGTAGAAAAGTAACTTGCTTTAAAATGATTGATGAATAAAATTAGGAGGAACCAATTTTTTTTATTGGCAGTTGGCTATATCACAGAGAGATTTTTATAGTGGTAGTCTATTCTATATTACAAATATGAATGGCATGAATGTTAGTCTGTAATCTTCCCAATCTGTCAATCGCAGCATTCCGCACTTACTACTAGAAAGTAATTTGCTGTACTCATATAGCCATATATAAACCACAGTGTGAGCAGAAGACTAATGATGGAGAAACACCACTTACACTTGCTGCAAAATCTGGACTAGTTGAAAATGTGAAGGCACTTCTAGAGAAGGGCGTTTGGCCGAACACCAAGAACAGCAGAGGAGAGTCACCACTTCTAATTGGTAAGATTTGCTACAGGAACGCCCACAAAAAATAAGAATGTGAACATAGAATACACACTATATTTCTACATACATTCTATATTCTGTTTGAAGAATTCTACCATATTATTTTTTCAGCTCATATTGATATGATTTAGATATTTTCAATTTAAGACATCAGATTTGTCCCATTATAATGTCTTACGTCTAGAAGCTTGTGTCCTTGAACTAGCCATATGAACATTTTACAAAGGGCAGGTACAATCAGTAAATTACATCTAACTTGATCATCTTATTAGGTGCATGTTGTACTGCTTTGGCTGCACTTTACTGAGGCCAGATATCTGTACAAATGTAGCAAAATATTCAAAAACACAGTAAAAAGCACATTAAAGAGGTGCACTGAAATTCAGGGTTTTATATTACTATAGTGTAAAGATGACCATACATGTAGGGCTGTCCCTAGACCTAGACTAGAGGCAGTGGGTTGCTGGTGGGGCACATTCCCGAGGGGGGGGTTTAGCAGATGGGGGCTCTGGCTGGTGTCCCGTCCAGCTCACTAATATCATTGGTTGCCAGGAGCTGGGTGGAATGTCCAGGTAGCTAAGAGCTGGGCGTGGAGATGTGTATGACCCTTGCACATCTCCCTGCCCAGCTCTTAGCAACCTAGGACACTCTGGCTAGAAAGGGGGGGGGGGCAGGCACCCTGCCTGCCCCCCCCCACGTGACCCAAAAAGATGCCGCCTGAGGCAACAGCCTCAAGCTGCCTCATTATGGGGACAGCCCTGCATACATGGAACAAATTTTGACCATTTTCTACTGGATTTGGCCTAAAATAAAACCCTGCGGGCTCAACTAACTTTGATCTGAAAATCGAAGTAGCTGGGTGGAAATTTGTAGTGCATACAGCCAATCAGCTGAAGCTGAGTATTCTGACAGCAGTAGATTCCACACTGTTGAGGATGGCAGAATCAAGTAATTTCTATCATTCAGCCTGCACAGCTCAACAAGAAATATCTTAATGTGTATGGCTAGCTTACATTTGGCCTGAGAAATAATACTTCAGTACATAAGGCCCTAATTTCTCTTTAACGCATTTTAATGAAAAAATTGTGTTTGTATTTCATTCTTATTGTAACTTGTTGTTTCTGCTTTCTAGCCATTAGGAATGGAAATTATGATATGGTGGTTACTCTGATAAGTTACAATTGCACCATTAACCAACCATGTGCCAGGCGTTGGTCTGCAATTCATGAAGCAGCAAAGCAGGGACGCAATGACCTGATCTCCGTACTCATAAAGAATGGTGCAAATGTCAGTCTTAGGGATGGCTTTGGAGTCACACCGCTGGGAGTAGCTGCTGAGTTTGGTCATTGTGAAGCACTTGAACAGTTAATTCACAAGGGTATGTAATTATACAATTCATATTTTTCACTTTATTTATTAAACATTGTTACACTGTAGATTGTAAACGTATTGTTTTAAAGCAGAACAGAGAGCACCATAGACTGTCTTTACTTTGAAAATTCCAGGGCACAGAAAAAGTGTGCTTTCAGGCACTTGTCTCTAATAGGAATAGATGGCGGAGAGAGGTCAGCTGTAGACTTATAGTGGTAAGGAGAAACTGGAAAACATGTAAAAAGGAGCCTAAAGCACCACCTGCTAGCTGGGTATAAGAATACAAAACACTGGCATGCAATATTTTATATTTGCCTGACTTAAATAAGAAACATATTATAACATATTAGATTGTAAGCCCTCAGGGGCAGGGCCCTCCTTACCATCCTGTCCTGAATTGTATTGTGATTGTAATGTCTTCCTTATATTGTAAAGCGCTGCGCAAACATTTATCAAGCAAATTAGTGACATCGTTATTTGCAAATCTGGCTTCCTCTTCTTCAGGAAAGTCTCAGAGACAGGTTTATAGTCCTGTAAGTCTGCATTTCTGGGCAGCCAAGTGCAACAGCTTGCAGAGATCTAAGACAGATTTATTACTAAAGATGTGACAGATTTTCACTCCAAACAGATGCAGAATTAAGAAGTGGTCGGGGTCAGGTTTTATTCTGTTGCAGAGCATCTGAGGAAGGACTTTATGACTCATGCTGTAACCTTGTAATAAATCTCATAAATGATCTCACTTCCCCCTATTTTGTTTCCCAAGGGACAGAATTGATAAATGCCCCCCACTGTCTATTCTTAAACGTTGCAATCCAGTGTTCTGCATACCACTTTTTCTGGTTTCATTTCAGCTCTGTTGAATATACTGTATGATGTCTCCTCTGATGTGTCCTTCATCTAGTGCTGAACTGCTGTTTATTTCTTTTGCACTGATAAAAAGATGCCTTCTTTCTTTATAGCCCAGTGTTCATGTCCATGTCACTTATAGTAACTCCAATATCTAACAGAAGTAATTTTGTTCTTAGGCGGTGACATTAATTTAGAAGCGGATGATGGGTCTACAGTGCTGTCAGATGCAGCTGAAGGAGGAAACCCAGATTGTGTGGCTCTTCTCTTGGAGTATGGAGCAAGCGGCAATGTGCCAGATAAAGAAGGATATCTCCCTATACACAAAGCAGCTTACAGAGGACATTACCTGTGAGTGAACCTATTATTTTATGATGACATCTTTTTCTAGAAGGCTCTTTATATCAAGTGTCTATAAAACCAGAAGCAACCAATGAGATTCTAGCTGCCATTTTTTTAGTGTAAGCTAAAAAGCAATCTACATGATGCAGACATCTGCTAGTCATTTTTGGTGCATTGTAGCGGCATAGGTCCCAGAGAGATTTAGGAACATGTAGGCTAGATCTCCCAAAGCCTTGTGTTCTTAGTCCAACTGAAGAAGCCAAGTATAACAAAGACTTCTCAACCTGGGAAAGTAGATTGAAGCCAATATATTGTAAGTCTATCCCTTTTAAATTAGCTCTGAGCTATTATATATTGAGAAATGTTGCATTGCTTGGTGTAACCCTGACTAAGGTATACCTATAAGGCCCATTTCATACAAGGGATCCTGTGACTGGCAACAACTTACTTTTTGCTATGGAGTTGTTTCCTCGCTAGCTGGACCAGTAAGATGCCAATCCTCACTAGCAAGTGAGATTTGGTGGTGTCCTGGGACAGCAAGGGAGTAATTCCATCAACGTAAGCTAAAGTCTTTTCTTGCTGATTCTTAACAATAAAATGATAGTTTATGTTTTTTACATCAAGCTAAATAGCTTGTGTGCTATTCATGAAATATAAGGGCAACAGCACATTTTCACTCTTTCATGCATATTTAGGTGTTTTTTGGTGCATGTTTTAAAACCATAACTATTTACATACTTTCTCCTAGAGCAATAAAGTACCTTATTCCGGTGACATCGCCACATGCAATTAAAAAAAGCGGTTTAAGTCCCATTCATTCAGCTACGGATGGCCAGAGTGTGCAGTGTCTGGAGCTACTTATTGAAAACGGCTTTGATGTCAATGAGCTTTTGGCTGAACACATGTCTGATAACTATGGAGATAAAAGGAAAACATCATTATTTTTTGCAGTATCCAACAAAGATGTTTTGTGCTCTGAGATGTTGTTGAAGGCTGGTGCACATCCAAATATAGACCCTCTAAACTGCCTGTTAGTGGCTGTTCGCTCTGGAAACCATGAAATAGTGAGGTTGCTTTTAGCTCATCAGGCTGATGTCAACTGTTATTTCACAACAGTGAATGACACTCATTTCCCTAGTGCAATGCAGTACGCCCTTAATGATGAGATCATGCTACGATTGTTGTTAAATAACGGATATCAGGTTGAGAAGTGCTTTGATTGTATGCATGGGGACATTTATGGTGGCTCATATATATGGTCAATCTCTGAAGAAGTACTACCGGGCTGGACATCATGCATCATAAAAGACAGCCATGTGAGTATGCACACTGTGCAAATAAATCATGGGTTAATTTATGAAATTGTGCAGAAAGAAAAGTAGCTGCACAGACCCCAGCCATCAATCAGATTGCAGCTGTCATTAGTAAATGTACTCCTGTGACCCAAAAGAGAAGTAACGCAAAAAAAAAAATACTGTTTAATTCTTTGTTGCATCCCAGTACTGATAATCTCCAGCATGCTCATTCAGCCACTTCAAGTCCATCTATCGGTGGCTGCATGGCGTTTCTCCAGGGTGGGTTTACTGATGGTGATAACAGTGGACCATGCCTGCATAATGTGTGTTGAAACTGCAAATTGTAGTCTCTATCAGAAGCCCAAATGGCAGGGTGACAATGCAGGAGCACAACTGGAAGACAGGAAGGGAAAGCTGTTACCTGTAACAGTAGGCCCTGAACAAGGACCTTCATGGCAGGATCACCAGGTATTATTTTAATGAAGGCTGCAGATTAAAAAATACTGAACACAGATTTTAGAGATTATGTTTATACCTTCTGTATATTACTTCATGTAAAATAAAGTCTTAGTGGAGCATACAACAGAAAAACAAATAACTAAATACGGTTTCTCAAACATATTAAATACATCAAAAAATACTAAAAAAATATTAGTCTTTAGTGACAGAGAATGGAGTGAAGCATGAGGGTCAAGTAAAAGTATATATAAAGCAAACATATATGTAAAATGTATTTCATTTACCTGTTCCTCTGTTTCTTTCAGTTCTGTGACTTTATTACTGTGTCCTGGATGAAGCATTTGGTTGGAAAGGTTATTAGGGTGTTGGTGGACTATATGGATTATGTTCCAATCTGTACAAAAATGAAAGCCACACTTGAAACCCAGAAGGAGTGGGCAGAGATCCAAGAGATTATAGGTAAAATAATGTTAGAAGTGTTATCTATCTGTATAGATGATGATGATGATGATTCATTTTAAGAAGGTCAATGTATGCTACATATCTTAGAACCAGATCATGTACTCATTCTTTTTTCTTTTTATAATGTGCTATGCCTTTAGGAAATCCACGTCCATTAAAGCACTTATGCCGCCTTAAGATTCGTAAATGCGTTGGGTTGGAGACATTGCAGAGTCCATCAGCAATGAAGAGATTTCCTTTGCCACCACTTCTTAAGTCTTATTTGTTATATAAAGAGTATGATTTATATGGGAAGGAACTGCAGTTTGACACGTGATAGTGAGTGGAATTATTCACACAAAGGTAATTTCATATTGAGAATGAGAAATGTTTAAGATGAAGTCTGGTACAAGGGTGCAACTGTAGCCATAGCAAATCATGTGATTGCTACAGTGCCCAGCAGTGAGGGTCCCAGTACTGCCTCGCTATGTATTCATTTACAAAGGGAACAATGGCATAAATATTTATATTACAAAATGTGCATTGGAGTGAAAGCAATTATTATGCTACTATTAATAAAGAGTTTGTGTTTGCGAATGCAGTAATCCATAGCAACGAATCAGACTTCACACTGCAAGTCAGACCCATACAAGATGGATTGTGGTTAGTTTCTAGAGTTTAGTACGCCTAAGATTTAGAACTTTTTACAGCAATGAAGCCAGTAGATATTTGCCTAAGAATGGCCAATTTTTGGTGGAAAAGCTTTTAGGATGGAGGTTGCATAGTCAGGAGACCCTGTCATTGTACATGATCCCATCAGAATATCACTTATTATTCATAGGAGAGTATAATATTTACATGACCTGACCATCATATCTCTCTTCTAAAGTTTACCTGAATTGTATATGTTGACTATATTACCATTTTATAAATAAAGTTGCACACATTCATGAAAAAAAGCTTCTTTTCTTTTATGACTATTACATTTTAGTGTTGAATCAGTTTTTATTAAGTTTCATAAAAGAAGATTCAGACAATGCACATAATGGCTCAAACATTAAATCACAGTGTTGGGATACAATATGAGGGAGGGAAACTCTCATTGGCACAGCGTTGACATCGTTCAGTTTGCCCGACTCGCCGTAGTTGGTTAATTTATATGAGCACAGAAAAAGGAACAGTAAAACCAACATTACACCGAATCTGTACGAGTGCTGTGCACAACCTTTTGATCAAACATTTCCAGGAGCGCCCTATAGGGCCACCTGATCCTGTGCGATTTGGAGCTAACCTCTTTAATAGCATATATTATAATCTTCTCGTGCACCGTCTGACTTTGCAGTCAGATTAGAGAAGCATTTAAACAGAGAAAAAGCGGGGAAGACAGGATAGAAGGAGAAGGACGGGGTTAAGGAGGGAAGGCTGGGATTGGGGGGGGAGGGGGGTCATCAAACAGCAGTCACCGATGTATTATGAGGGCGGGTGTTTCCTAATTCCTACCGTGAGATTGAGGTTAGAGCAGGGACTGGAGGTCAGCCGAGGCGGAGAAATGTAGCCATATACTCCATTGTGACATGAATTTGGATAAGGTGTTATTGTCTGTCGCCAGGAGCTCCTCCATGTGCATAACATCATTTACTAGGCTAACCCATTTGGAAATGGGCGTGGCGGTCGTTGTTTTCCAAAACATGGGCATCACCTGTTGAGCAGCAGACAGGAGGTGCCTAAGAATCATTGCTTTTTGGGCTTTCCGGGATCCCGGCAGGAGTGACAGTAATGCTATAGTCTGCGTGGGCGCCAAAGTGTCACCGTACAAGCGATTATAGATCGTAAAGATCTTTTGCCAAAATGGGAAAACTAAGGGACATGTCCACCAAATGTGTAGGTATGTGCCTCTTACCTCATTGCAGCGCCAGCAAGTCTCAGGAGAAGAAGGGAAGATCGACTATTACATTTTAAATAGTGAAGTACTTGTTTATTTTGTCATTTATGCCTATGTTTCCCAATTGTTTTCCTTCAGGGCACTCTGATATGAAAATAGTGGCTTGGTTCTCCTATTATGGTAGAGGATTCTATGGCTCCCTGAGTAATGGGTTAAACGGTCTTCATGTAATGCAGCCTGTAGTAAAAAATTGTGAATTCGTATACAGTGTTTCTTCAAAGAGGTCTGTGAGGGAAAAAAACCCACCCATGTTGGCACTGATATTAAACATGATGGGGTTGATTTACTAAGGGGAAATAGGCAGTTCACTTTGCAAGGGCATTTCACCTTAATTTAGTAAATGAGGTGAAGCTCTGCTGACTTCACCCAATCATGTGCAAGCAAATGTTTTATTTTTAAATTTCCTTGCTCATGATTGGTGATCCTTTGCAAAGTGAATTTTTACTACATTCACCGATCTAAGGGAAAATTCCCTTGGAAAGTGAACAACCTCTTTGTCTTCAGTAAATCATATTACTGATAGCGGTAAATTGGTCGTGGTCACACAATGAGTTAGAGAAAAAATGGTTGCGCTTGGGTTTTTATAAAAGAGTATTGCCACATGCACCATAATAGAAAGCTACAAGCTAGGCTAAAAGAGTCCCCTAGCCCATCACACACTGCTATTTAGCCCTATGGCACTAGACTGTGGGAAATTCACATTGCATGTCAGGAGGGATAACAAGAAATAATCACAATAAATGATGACAATTGGACCCAACAGATTACAATACATGGTTGTAAAACATCATCCGTAGCAAATTATAATAATTGTTTTTATATCTGTACAACCTGTAAGACTTCTGTCTGGCAAACTAAACAGCCCTCAAAAATACACCTACAATTAAGTGCTGTAGCACATATATTTAACGGGAGGCCATAGTTCTAATATATTAGCAGTACATAGAACCACATTGAACTATTGTTATGTTCATACAAGATAAAGTACAATTCAGTGTGGCAATGTTTTAAGGATACTTGGCTCGTTGCATTTGATCTGGTCGATTGCATAGAGAATTGTACTTTAGAAACGAAAAGCTTGTCTGGGGTTCTGCGACGTGTGTTTCCGTGTCACTGACATCACTGTGATCATATCAGAAGGTGCTATAAATTCTTAAATTGGTTTCCAGAAATCAGACACTTTTCCAGAGCACTCCAAGCTGTAATGCATTATTAAACCACCTAAAGCCATTTGAGATCTTTGTGTTCTCAAAATGTACTTTAACAATGAAGATAAACATGGTGTTCTTCAATATACATTGTACATGCTTTATTAGCTACTGGGAATTAAATACTCTTGTGAGCCATAAATACAGAACATTGCATTCTCTAGGCACTTTAAAATGCACCTGCAGTTAAAGTGACACTAAACTCAGGAGTTAAATCTTAAAAATGAATTCAGGTACCTTAACTATTAACAAAAAAGTATCTTATTTGTGTATCACACGGCTGTAGATCCTCAAATCATCTCTGAATTGGTACTGACACTGTCCTTCCTTCTGGAGGGTGGCTACTTTTGTTCCCCATGGTCCCTGTGTGTGTTGTAAAGTATTCACCCCTCCGAGCTCACTCCTGTGATAGACAGCAGATTATATCTGCAGGCAGCAGATAGAAGAAAAACATTTACAGGATTGCAGTTTCATACAAACACAAATTTAAGAGGCTCTGCCTTGTCAAAAAAGTTGTAAACTAGGCCAAGTTGTACAGAAAATGCTTAATATATACTTGTCCCACAGTCTACATCAGGGGTGTCAACTCAATTTAACCGCGGGCCGCATCAGCATTATGGTTGCCCTCAAAGGGCCGGTTGTATCTGTAAGACTATATAAATGTATCTACTCTTTATATTAAATAATTATCTTTGCATTCAATTTTTACTGGTTTTAGTAATAAGTTAAGTAATAACTAGAAACTTTAACCTCCCTGGCGGTAATCCCGAGTCTGGCTCGGTAGTTAAGAGTCCCCCACTCTCCCTTACATTACAGTGCACCCCCTTACCGTGTGCTGCTGCCAGGAAGAAGCTGGGGGCAGAGAGTGCACGGCCGGGAGGAGGACCAGAAGAGGGCTGGAGTCAGCTGCCGGAGTCTGCTGAATGCTGAGACCAGGGGAGGTGAAGATGAGGGGGTGCTGCGGCTGCACATATAGGCGCAGGATCTGTAGGAGTAGTTCTCTCTTCCTCTCTGCTGCCGACTGCTTAGACAAACTGGGCACGGAGACAAGGGGGTGCAGAAGCTGCAGGAGAGGTGCGAGGGCCACATGAAATGGCCTGGTGGGCCGAATTCAGCCCGTGAGCCTTGTGTTTGACACATGTGGTCTACACCAACATTCTTTGCTATCTTAAAGATCTCCAGTGACTGAAATACTTTCTGACTTGGTGTACTGCATGCCTAGTCCCCTTATGCGTCCTGTGGGTCTATCTGCCTTCCCCAACAACACTACCTTGTCCTGTAATGATAAAGGGACCAGGGGTTGGAACTACAGCATGAGGGGGACAAGGCATCAAGCACTACTGGAACATGTCAGATGCTAATGATTTTTCAGCCACCATAGCTTCACAACAGAGGAAAGATCGGTGACATGGATGATGGGACAGGTAAGTATTAATCATTTTCTTTACCGGCTGGCCTTCTTTACAGTTTTGTAACTAACAAGAGCCTAAAGCCTAAGACCTTTATGAATTGTAAAGCATCCCCCTAAATGGTAGTAGTCCACGTTAGTAAATTAAGACATACAGTTCATACATACAGACATACAGTTTAACGTATTCTAGTTTAATACACATGAATTCCAATGTCTAGTGTGTACAGTGTAAATCTCAAAGACATGAAACACTAGTAATACCATTTGTAGGAAGGGAACTCCCATAGGATTTCAGCATTCTTGCTTTGTGGTGATATGTGGTGTGTGTGATATGAATATTCATTCTATCCATCTAAAAGTGCATTTCACAAGATAATATAAGTTATTGAACAGGATTCACTATATACACTGAGTGGCCATATTGTTATGACCACCCCATCAGTACTTCGTTGGGCCACAAGATGACTTTGTTGTGCCGCCTCGTGACTCCATGAGATGTTGAAAGGTGATGTGAAACACTAGTAATACCATTTGTAGGAAGGGAACTCCCATAGGATTTCAGCATTCTTGCTTTGTGGTGATATGTGGTGTGTGTGATATGAATATTCATTCTATCCATCTAAAAGTGCATTTCACAAGATAATATAAGTTATTGAACAGGATTCACTATATACACTGAGTTGCCATATTGTGATGACCACCCCATCAGTACTTCGTTGGGCCACAAGATGACTTTGTTGTGCCGCCTCGTGACTCCATGAGATGTTGAAAGGTGATGTGAGGAATCTGACACTGCACTGTTGCCCTTCTGTTGTCTTCAGGGCCGGTGCAAGGATTTTTGCCTACACAGGCGAAGGTGCATTTTTGCGCCCCCCGCCGTAACAGTATGGAGAACCGCAAAATATGCTGAGCAGGACCATAAACTAGCACTAGCCGCACTCCCTTTCCACTAACACTAACTGGTTAAATGATCCATAGTACAACTACATGTTATGTACTATGGATTATGATTTAAACTATTCATGTTAGCAGGGGAGAATTGTAAATCTATTGCTGTAATGTAGTGGAGGTGTGTGCTGTATATATGTACTACATATACATTACACACGTCCAGTACACTATAGCAATAGATTTGCAGCCTGCCCTGTCCCAGCTTCCCTCACTTACAGTTTCACTCCCATCCCTGTTGCCTCACGCGGTGCCTCTTGTAGCCATCGCTGGGCAGGATCGCTGCATCGCGTCTCGGTGCTCAGCTTGTGGGAGGTGCTCACAATTCTCCCCTGCTAACATGAATAGTTTAAATCATAATCCATAGTACATATAAAGCACACACATCCACTACACTGCATTAGTAGAGTTACAATTATCCCCTGCTAATATGAATGGGTTAAATGATCCGTAGTACAACTACATGTTATGTACTATGGATCTTTCATGTTAGCAGGGGATAATTGTAAATATATTGCTGTAGTGCAGTGGACGCGTGTAACGTACATGTACTATGTACTACATATAGAGTATGCACGGCAGACAATAGATTTACAATTATCCTCGGCTAACATGAATGGGTTAAATGATCTATAGTACATAACATGTAGTTGTACTACGGATCATTTAACCCATTAATATTAGCAGGGGATCATTGTGAATCTATTGCCGGCAGTGTATTGGGAATGTGTACTGTATATATGTACTACATATAGAGTATACACTGCAGACAATAGATTTACAATGATCCCCTGCTAACATGAATGGGTTAAATGATCCGTAGTACAACTACATGTTATGTACATATTATGTACTATGGATCATTTAATCCATTCATATTAGCAGAGGATAATTGTACAATTATCACCTGCTAATAATCATTAGTTCTTCATAGGAACCCCCCCTGTCCTCACTTACTGCTCGATGAAGTTGCCTCACTGGTGAGGTTGTAGTCAGCGGCGCGCTTTGGTAAACAACCTGCTTCCCTATTTATAATGGTCTGGCCCTCTAGCAACTTCAGCGCAAAATTATAGCTAATTATAGCTAATTTGCCTACAAACGTCAGGTGGTAATAATCTGGCAACTTAGTGTAATTGTGACATTGTGTGGAAATCCTTAGGTCATCAGTGTAAACTTTATCTGGAAAGATATAGTGCGCAATTAATCCCAGAGTCTGAAAGCCTGGCATTCACTTGTGATGTCACTTTGTCTCTGCATCCAGCTGACGTTGGAGGCTGAAATAGAATATGCTTTCATCCCCCTTTGTATTACGGGAACACCCATTTAGCCTTTCTTAAAAGGCTGTGCCTCTTCTCATCTAAAGTGTCAGTTGCAGCTCACACAGGGTATAACAGAGTTATCAGCTCTTTCTCCCTTGCATTCCTTATCTACGTATTAAAGTTGTCTGACTTTAGAACACTAAAGCTCCTGAGGGGCCATGTCTACCTTTGGATATAGAAGGGAGATCAGTAAATATGAAGATATTGATGAAGATGAGCTGCTGGCTTCCCTCTCACCAGAGGAGCTCCAGGAACTGGAAAGGGAATTGGACGATATTGAACCAGATCGTAACCTTCCTGTTGGAATGAGGCAAAAAAGTTTAACAGAAAAGTCCCCAACGGTGAACTTCAGCAGAGAAGCCCTAATGGCTTATTGGGAAAAGGAAACACAAAAGCTTCTAGAGAAAGAAATTGGAGCATGTGCTCAGGTAAGCCTTTATATTGAATTTATTGCGCCAGTTAGGTTAAAAAGGTGAATGCTTACATGTTATGTTTTATATACCAAAAAAATACTAAGGTGTTTATAACTCACAGGCTTTTTTAGAAAGCAATATACAGAGCACCGACCACGGGCAAAGAACAATAACCCATTGCAGCCAATCCAGATTGTATTTTTCCTTAGTTTAGTGCAGATAGGACAACACAAGATCATTTCTGATGGGCTCATTCTAAGGGCTCATACAATCCACATAAATAAGGAAAGTATTGGAAATTATTCCTAGCTGTTTTATATTTATTATAAAGAGCACAATGTGTGAACATATATATATATACAATGTGTGAATATACAAGACATTCAGACAACTAAATGAAAATGGAAATGTTTTTGCAAACAATATTACAAAATATGTTTACTTTTACTATTAATTAACTTCACAGGATACTTTTGTATTGAATTTGGCATTATAAATATGCACTTCAGAAAGAAAAATTACGTTGGAAAAATATGCGGTGCATAGGTGTTGCCCAATATAAGATTTGTAGAATGTATTTTTTTCTGCGCATTACAAAATATGTTTAGTTTTAGTGCTAAATAACATCACATATTATTGAATTTGGCATTATAAATATGCACTTCAGAAAAAAACATGTTGAAAAAATATGCAAGGCACAAGTGTTGCCCTGTATTAGATTTACCCATTTCTTCTTAAAACTATGGCAAAATGTACCCTTTTTAAGCAGATCAGATGAGTTTTATTAGGGTTCCCTATAGGGATACAATGCACATACAACAAACAAACAATGGGTACATCAAAAAGTATTTAGATAGCGGTACACAGGTAAGTTGCTACAACATGTTAATATCAGTAGAAATATTGAAACAAACTACTAACGTAATTGTCAGATCAGCTCATTTGCAAATGAACAGCCCTCACAGCTTTAGAACAATTATTTTCTTTGCTTGGTGATTGAAATAGTGATGTGCCATTTGAAACTGTGGAAAATGTTTTGTTTAGACCAGGATGCTTCTTCAGCACACATTAGACATTTACAATCACCAGCATCAGCAAAACAGTGGATTCCAAGATATTTTCTTTTTAAAGAGATGGTCTAACTGAAGAAGCAGAATATTATTTCAAAATGATAAGCTGAAATCCCTAAAAAGAGCAAAGTCACCATTTATCTCCCCTGTATGCAGTCATCCTATCATCTAACATGTCTATGCCAATGCATTGTTAGTTGTTCACACATCTATCTATCTATCTATCTATCTATCTATCCATCTATCTATCATCTATCTATTTATCAATCTAACTATCCATCTATTATACATCTATCTATCCATCTATCTATCTATCTATCTATCTAACTATCCATCTATTATACATCTATCTATCCATCTATCTATCTATCTATCTATCTATCTATATATCTATCTGTTATCTATCTATCTATCTATCTATCTGTCTATCTATCTATCTATCTATCAATCTATTTATCAATCTATCTATCAATCTATCTGTTATCTATCTATCTATTTATCGATCTATTTATCGATCTATCTATATATCTATTTATCTATCTATCTATTTACCGATCTATTATCTATCTATCTATCTATCTATCTATTATCTATCTATCTATTATCTGTCTATCTATCTCTATATATTGATCTATTTATCTATCTATCTATTTATCGATCTATCTATCTATCTATCTATCTATCCAAAATAAAATTGACAGCAGTGTCCCTGCTATGTACAGTATGTCAACTATTTTGTGGCATCTGATAAGTGGAAACATTTTGGGAAGAAAGTCCACAGCTGACCCTTTAGTAGATTCCCTGTGCTCAGACAAAGCCCTGCACTTGTCTCTGGTATTTGATTGTTTTCCAAACATGGTAGTTATCAACACTTATTATACAGCTTCTAAATATAGCCACTATTTAATCTCAGTTCAGGCTCAGGAGTATGATAATATGTTGTTTGGCTGCTTGCTACATTAGTCATCAAGTCTATGGTGTCCTTGACAAATTGTTTTTCTGTATTATTCACTAGTTATTAAGCATTTGAATCCATGCCGACATATGCATTATGCATAAAAATGTATAATTAAATCCCCTAAATATCAAAAATGTATTTTCAAATAGTTTGAAAATAGAGGAGTAGTGCTTTGTGACTGAAAAACAAATGTTTTGTGGAAAAAAATGAATACTGTCCAAGATCAGTAAATCTGTAATAAGACAACCTCATTTCTTTTAGGTCTGTGTTTTTTAAGTAATAAAATGTAATGTTGTTGTTTCTTTTTTGCTAACACTTATAAATGGTCATTACAGTTTCCACGTGCAGCAAGAATGCATTACAAAAACGGCAAAAATGTTTTTTTTACATTTCAAAAAACAGGAACTCAATAGTTGTTTGTATTGTACATGAAAATATAATGATTTTAGATCAAACATATTTTCGTTTTTGAGGCTTACACATTTTAATAGATTGTTTTATATCCTGCATACCTTTATACAATAATAACAAACATGTAACACGTGACAAGGTTCCCAGAGCAGTATGGGTTATCTAAAGAGACGCAGAGCAGCTTGCTTTGCCGCTCTCTTTGTCTGATAAAAACATCAAGCTCAACTGTCTGATAAGGAATGAGTAACTACTCTGATGTTTTATTGAGTTCTGTAAATATTACGTTTTCTATCAACACAGCTAAAACCAAATCATGCTAATAAACTGAAAAGAAGACTAGAACTTTATGTAATAGCTGAGTATGACACTATATAACATTCCCATGCAATATTTCAAATTTAGCTGACAGAAAAAGCACCAACTTCATTTTTTTTTAGTCCATAAAAAACTAAAAAATCTATACACAACCACTATATATTCAATTGATATCAAATGTAGAAAAATATATACTTGTACTTCTAAAAATAAGTTTGATATTGTATTCTATTGGGTTTTTTGATCCATTTTTTTCTCTGCCTAATAACTAACTATGGATGGATAGATGATGTAAGTATAATATGATTTTGTTACCCTTGACAGAACTTGGAAAATGAAACCATTTAACTGAATTATGATTGTTATAGGATCACAAGGAAGAAGATGAAAGTGAGGAGGATGACTTTGCAGGAAGCAACAGTGAAGTGTCAGAGGAGGTTTATACAGAAGAAGATGAGGATGAGGAAGAAGAAAGAGAAGAAGAAGAAGGAGAAGAAGAAGAGGAACACAAGGAAGAATATGAAAGTGAACTAGAAGAGAATGAAAAGGAAATCAAAGAAGAGGTGGTGTGTAGCAAAAATGAATTGCAGCAAGCCATACAAATTCCCATAAAACCACCCGCTATAAAATGCAATGGCGTTTCTGTTGATAAGCCAGCTTGCAATGGATTAAGTGGAAGTGGTGACAAATACAGGAGACCTACAGATGATACTGTGAACTGTAAGGCATTGACTGGCCCTGTTCTCTCAAACCCAACCGTTATTGAGGAAGCACTAGAAAACATCAAAATCAATGATCCTGACACTATTGAAGTGAACCTCAATAACATTGAGAATACAACACCTGATACGTTAATGGCATTAGCAGAGGCTCTGAAAAATAATACTAGTGTTAAATTATTCAGTTTAGCAAACACTCATGCTGATGACAATGTGGCATTAGCTATCGCTAACATGTTGAGGGTAAATAGAAGTATCACGTCTTTAAACATAGAATCAAACTTTATCACAGGTAAAGGAATATTAGCCATTATGAGAGCTCTTCAGTATTCCAACAATATCTTGACAGAATTGAGATTTCACAATCAAAGGCACATCATGGGAAGTCAAGTGGAAATGGAAATAGTAAAATTACTAAAAGACAACACAAGTATTGTCAAACTAGGTTATCACTTTGAGCTTCCAGGACCACGTATGTCTATGACAAGCATACTTACCAGAAACATGGACAAACAGAGACAGAAAAGAATGCAGGAACAAAAGGAATCTGGTTATGATCCTTCATCTAACTTAAGGCCCAAGACATTGCAGAGAGGAACTCCAGGGGCTTCACCGTGTCCTTCTCCTAAGAGTTCACCATGGTCATCACCAAAACCGACTAGAAAAGTTCAGGCTACCATCACCTTAGCTCCCCCTCCACCTCCTCCACCACCACCTCCACCACCTCCTCCACCTGCCCCTCCATTATTGCAAGCAGTTCAGGAAAAAAAGGTTCCCACAAGGAATATTGCTGAAGTCATCAAGCAGCATGAAAGATCGGCAAAGAAAATTCATAATGGACAGAATAAAACAAAAGGCAAAAAGAGTAAAAAAGAACAAAACAACATATTAAAAGAAATAAAAAATTCTCTAAGATCAATTTCAGAAAAGAAAGCAGAAGAGGGTTCTAGACCGTCTACACCACAAAGATCTGTACACGATGACCTTATGGAAGCTATCAAAGGAAGCAGCATAAGACAGTTGAGGAAGGTATGTCTTATAATATTTACACATATCTGGTCTTTAAAATGCAATTTAATATCCTAATATTGCCCAGCAGCCCATGAATTAGGGTGATGTCATGGTTCTAATCTGTTGGCATCCTTTAGTGGAAGATTTATATGTCCTGGAACATGCTTTTTTCCCTATTAAATGCTTTCTGGCTTTAAATTTGGTGGCCATACTGGACATTTTTGCAGAGTTATCTAGAATTGTTAAAATATGTGTTCCTCTTGCATATTTCACTTTACCCTATTAAGTGCGTATATGTTGGACTGCATGACCAATTATTCAACATTAACAATTGACAACGTAATTTTCATAAAATCAATAAAACAAAGCAAATAATATTATAGTTATGATTGCCAATTAATGAAACCAAATCAATACATAGATTAATAAAATGGCAATTAACATTAAAAATGTTCTGCTCTTTGACCTTATAATGATAGAGTTGTTAGATGAAGATAATTAACAATATAAGTAAAAAGTTACATCCAACCACCAATCAGATCCAACCCTATCTTAGAAGTATGGATGTGATTATTGATACAGGAGCAGAGGGAGAGGAACATATAGGACTTTTACCAGGTAGGTGACTAAAAATGGCTAGAACTGAGTGAAGTTGGCACCAGGGAATGTTGTATAAGTGAATTAAGTGGTCAGCACAATTTTGCCCACTATACCAGGGATGAAAGACAGATCAAGATCAGTTTGAAGCCAAGACAGAAATAATAACTAACCAGGTGCAAAGAGGAACTGCCAGTTCAGCACCAGGAGTAACATCACGGTCAAATCAGGACAGTCTGGGTCAGATAATCAATTCAAACATGCATAGGAAACAAAATATTTAAAGATCATTTGTGTTGGCAGGTGTGACTTGAAATACTCTCATGTGTTGGGGTGTTTTGTTGCATGCCCATGTAAATGTACACACGCAAACTGTTGCCTGATATGCAAGTGTCTTTAACCATGCCAGTACTTGAGTAATCCTGCTGACAATGCTTCTTTGGTGTAAACATAAACACATTCTGCAATAGCAAATCATTGTTTTATTGTGGTTGTAAGCTGTGTCTTGGTTTACTTTCCTGCAGAAAGAAAAGCTCTAGTCATTTGAATATGTAAACTTATATACTCATTATTAAAATGTATAGAACTTAGGGATGGGCTATTTCAATGAAGCCTTTACATCATTGTGACAATGTGTAGTATGCTACTGTTGTAGATGAACCTTGTACTAAGAGAAATACAGGGACTACCATTGATGACATGCTTTTGAAAAAATGCTAGTTGCCTGGCTAGTTGACTTCTGTACTTTCTAAATCACTGACTTAAAACAAGGACTATTTTTACTTTGTGTTTAAACTTGAAGTGACACTAAACTCAGGAGTTAAATAATAAAAATGGATTCAAGTGCCTTAACTATTAACAAAAATGTACCTTATTTGTGTATCACTCAGCTGTAGATCCTCAAATCATCCCTGAATTGGTGCTGACACTGTCCTTCCTTCTGGAGGGTGGCTACTTTGGTTCCCCATGGTCCCTGTGTGTGTTGTAAAGAAGCCACCACTCCAAGCTCACTCCTGTGATAGACTACAATCTCATGCTTAGTTTACTAATTTGTATTAGACATGTGCGATTCGTTTCGTTATGAATCGAAATTCGTACAAATTTTCCTGATATTCATAAATTCGGAAGCATTGCAGTTTCCGAATTATATCCGAAACCCTGCTGAGGGTTGCATTACAATACACAGGCAGGAAATACGAAATTCCGTTAACGGAACGAACATTCGTTATATTGAAGTTAAAAAGCAAAATACCTTTGTTAATATATTGGAGTTGATGGTAGTTTTTTTTTTTAATACGAAATACGAAATTCGGATCCGGAATCCGTTAACGGAATTCGTATTTCGTTTGGTTGACCAATCAGAGGTTTTCTCTTCTGCTGTTGAGAGTTGCATTACAATACAGGCAGGAAATACGAGATTCCGTTGACGTATTTTCGTTCCGTTACGAACATTCGTTATATTGAAGTTAAAAAGCAAAGTACATTTGTTAATATTGGAGTTGATGGTAGTTTTTTTTTAATACGAAATTCGGATCCGGAATCCGTTAACGGAATTCGTATTTCGTTTGGTAGACCAATCAGAGGTTTTCTCTTCTGCTGCTGAGAGTTGCATTACAATAAATACAGGCAGGAAATACGAAACTCCATTAACGGAATTTCGTTCCGTTACGAACATTCGTTATATTGAAGTTAAAAAGCAAAAATACCTTTGTTAATATTGGAGTTGATGGTAGTTTTTGTTTTAATCCGAAATACGAAATTCGGATCCGGAATCTGTTAACGGAATTCGTATTTCGGATAAAAAAATCAACTACCACATCGACTCCAATATTAACAAAGGTATTTTTGCTTTTTAACTTCATCATAACGAATGTTCGTACAGTTACGAAAATGTGCCGAAACTAACGAAAATTCGTATTTCGTACGACTCCGAATTGAGTTTCGGACACGAAATAACGGATATTCCGAAAACGAAACAAATTTTTTGACGGCGCACAAGTCTAATTTGTATTGAGATTGTAGTACATCACAGGAGCGAGCTTGGTTAACCTTTCCGTGCTGTCTGTTTTTGTTTTTTTACATCGGGGCTGCCGGCCGCCGTCAGTCAGAAAAAAAACAACGGCGTAGGAACTAATAGCTATATCGCTATTGGCTATTTCAGTTTGCAATAGCAGACTACCTATTGCACCTGCAATCAGCAGAGGTGGACCTGAAGTTCTCCATTAGGTCCACCTCTGCTGACTGACAGCAGCAGAGGGCAGGTGCAATAGCCAGCTTGCTATTGGCTATTGCAAATTGAAATAGAAATGAGAAGTGCACCTCCCTGAAATTACTTATTTCAGGTTGGGATCCCTGAAATATTAAGCCTTTGAACTGGCTCTAAAGGTATCTAAAAGTTTACATCTATCGTATTCTAATCATACATCATATGTGTTCAGTGTGAATAGGAAAACTGCTTTTTCTTTGGTACTTCCTTTGAATATTTCTCAACACCAATCTCTTAAAACAGGGGTCTGTAAGCAGAAGACATTTACTTGATGCTGTGTGACAACATGTTGATTTACTTTGTTTATTTCGTAGGTGGAAGTACCTAAAGAACTGCGGTAAAGTCCACGTCTGTTGTAAGAGCTGAACACAAGAAGCTTTGTTGAGTTATCTGCTGTTTGTTAAACATGTGTAAGCAAGCAAAGTGCACTCCTCAAGAAGCTGAAACCTTTTAATCCTAGGCGACCGCAAGGAAAAATAAATGATATGTAAATACTGATTAACTTTTATTTTTTATATCTTCTTTTTTTTGTTTTCTATAGTATAAAGTATATTCATCTACAATGAAAGATGATCACGATGAACCTTGTGTTTTGCACTAAAATGTTTTTGTTTCTTTGGTTTGTATTTTTTATGACTTCAATAAAAATTGTATAACTCAATGTCAGCATGTCAGTAACGTCTTATGTCAGTAACAACAAAATTAAATCACGTCTTACAATCAGTAGAGCACGTATAACAAAAAGCTGCGAGAAGACCTAATTGACTTCTTTGTAGTCCTTGCCAATATCAGTCACAGGGGGCAAGTTCCCCATGAGCACCCCCTTTTTCTTTTATCACTTGCTGGGACACTGCTGGTGCAGAAGACATTGGCATAAATCAGTGGTAGTTGAGGGGGGGGGGGTCAATTGTTGGGTTGTAAAAGAGAAGGTAGCTTTTAAAATGCTAATTTACTAAACAAAAAGAATCATTCATAGCATGCTGGGAAACAACAGTTCACAAATGACCCAACTGGAAACCATCTAGCATGTCAGTGAGAACAACTCTGATAAAGGTTTAGAACTTTTCTCTGGTTTATAGCTGTATGTGTCTCCTGTGCAAAGATTAACCCTCAGTTCATCAGGGGGAAATGTTTGCCAGCTTCAATAACCCTATTTTAAGTAGAGTGATGAAAGATTAGAACCTCTTCCAAGTTTTTATGGCAAAGAAGATTTCCGCTTACTTCCTCTCCTAATGATACCCTGTATATAACAGAAAGAAAAATATGACAGAGGTTCTAACTGATCCTCATTGTATCCAAAGCAGACAATCCAAAAAACAGCTTTGACTTTAAAGCAGAAGTAACTGCTGATAAAAAAATGTCCACAGAGAGTTGTTAATATGCTGTGCATACTAGCACTGGTTGACTTACCTACAGAAATGACCCCCTCCGGCACTGCTCCCCTCAGCCAACAGGCATCTACTTCTTCATCCCGGTCCTCTGCTGGATTCCAAGTCTTCGGCCTCTTGATATAACTGCGTGGCCCAGCGTACAGATGCAGAGAAAATTGCAGACCGGCAGGGAGAAACATCTATGGACAAAGAGACTTCTACAGTCTCCTCTGCCATAAGAAAACCTGCGCGTCAGCACTTTTCAAAGTTTAGACTTCACTTTCATTCCCAAAAGTGGTGATTGCATTGCACATCAAATATTGGTTAGCTACAGCGAGGATATTCTATTACAACTGGTAAAAATGTATTTGCAATAATGGAAAACATAATTATTTTCTCCTTAATAGAAACAACAAAAGTAATCACATTAATAGTAGAGCATAAAATGTGCCTACATGGTACTATTAGCTGCCACAATTGTTTTCTCTTTGTGGCTTGAGAATCTTAAAACCAAAATCTTCTTTCTTGTAGTAACAGTAAGCATTAACGTGGCACTGGCTATGCAGTTCTGTGATCCATCCTATCAGACTCCAGTAGAGCACATCAGCCCCCAATTTAAACTGTCCTATTGGTTAGTGGAACACCAGGGAGCATACCAGAGCTGAGTCAAGACCTTAGTGTGGCTGACTGTGATGGATCCTACCCTTCAAGAAGCAAGATTTTGTCACAGCTGACGGTACATAGAGTGCCTGTATTTACATTCTTCTGCTAGTTTTGGATGACAGGTTCCCTTTAAGTGACCCTATTTAGGGATCACTGTCCTGTTTGTTCAAACAGCAACCAAATAACCATGTCATATTTAAAATGGATGATTTACAAGTGCCAACAGCAGCTGCAAATTCCAGTCATCTGTTAATATCAAGTGAAACTTTACCCAGTAGTGTTTAGATGGGAAATTGGCTGGAGCGGTGCTGGATAAAGGATACTGGTCTTATCATTTCTTGTTTAAAGAGATTCTGACCTGCAAGAAGAGAGACCCAGCTTTAAGTTGTTCATAAAGTTTACTGGCTTCACATTATGATTAATCAATCCTCTGGGAAGGACAGATGCCGCTGTCTTTAAATGTAACAAGATCAGTTTGATCCAGTAGATACCGATTTCCTGCTATTGCCTTGGCTTGGTTTTCTAGTAGCTATATCTCTGCAGGTTACTTACAGTTATAATTTATTGAATACCTTTAGTTTGCAGCAAATTATATTCTGGAAGTAAAAACTTGGCACTGTATTAATTTTTTCCAATTATGCAAGTTTTAGTGTATTTTGTAAGGTCTAATGTTAAACCTTGTCTTCCCTGCCATTAGGCTCCACCACTTTCAGCAGGCATGCTACCATAAAAGCCTTCAGGAGTTTAAATGTGAATGCCACTTACATTAGAAGTTTATTTAGGCATTGTTAGTGAGACACAGACCTAGAATAGTCTAGGATACACTAAAATAATTATCATTAGAAGTACCAAGCAAGAAATGGTATGTTGCGTGTATTCTTGGCATATGCATAACAAATGCTTGGAAGCATGGGCGTTGTTGGGCTCAGTGCCCGTCTTCAGTTTGGTGCCCCAGGTCAGCAATACCTGCACTTTACCACTTAGCAGAAGCCTCTGCACTTCATATGCTATATCACATATTACGTACAGCTGGCTGCCACAATCTGTATGCTATATTGTACATTACATACCCCTGAGAAAATGTTTATTGTCTCAGCAGTTGTTGTTTGCTAAGTAGACATGTGCGATTCGTTTCGTTCCGAATCGAAATTCGGACGAATTTTCGGAAATTCGGACATTCGGATGTATCCGAATTACAGACATAACGAATGCAAACGAATCCGAATTTCCATTTCCGAAATTCGGTAGCGTTAGTACGAACGTTCGTTTCGTTTTCTGTTCTTATTCGTTTCGTTCGTTGGAGCAAAGTGACATTAGAGAAGGAGAAAAATATTTTTCCCCCTCAAATGTCACTTTTGCTGCAAACGAACGAACGAAACGAATAAGAAACCTAAACGAACGTTCGTACTAACGCTACCGAATTTCGTCCGAATCCAAATTCCGAATCCGAATTGACTTTCACACCCGAATCCTGAAAAACGAAATAACACAAATCCGAATTTAAAACTAAACGAATTTTTTGGCAGTGCACATGCCTATTGCTAAGTAGCCCCAATCTATTTTAATGAGGTTCTTCTTTAGGTAGGCTCAAAGTGTTACCTGTACAGTATATTCTGTGTTCAGAAAAGCATGTGAGAAGAATTTTTAATGTTTATGTCTGCGACACTGTGGGTTGTGACATAGTAATAAATCATATTTTGTGGGTATAAGGACTGTGGCATATAGGACATGCGTATACAGCAAGTGGCCTCAGGTTCCATCTACCCATGCCATTCACTCTAGGAATGCACGCTCTCCTCAGGGTGCCTATTCCTAGCAATGCCCAGGTTAAAAAGAAACATCTTTTCAAGCATTTGCCTGCTTGTCTTGGCCAATAAAAGTGAAAATACTAGCAGGAATTTTCTTTATATCCCACTTAAAAACATACTCCACCTTTTGGACCATATTTAGGGTGTAGCATTAAACGTGGCCTCCTTCCTCAACCCCCCCCCCCATCCCTGAATTGCTGGATGTCTCTCATTCCAGCATCCTCTTTTGTTTTTTTCATTTAATACGTTGCTCCGCCCACACAGCCATGTGATCCATTGACCCACCTTGGCAGAGGGACTCACAGATAGTGCTGGCAGCAAGGTGGTGACATCACTGCACTTGTAGTCCAATGTTTACTTCCTCCAGCATAAGGTCCATAGCTCCGTACAGATTTGGGGCTGTGGGTAGCCAGTGCAGAAGCTTGTGCGTTGCACCTGTGACGCACTGATCACAGTTGCAGTGTTCTGCAGGCTTAAATGCAAAGATGGAATAAATGCACATTATTTTATTAAAAAGTAAAAATGCCGTCTGGCGACGGCAACCCACCAATGCAGCAGTGCCGTCCGTCCGTTTTTCTACTACGGGCGGACGGCAAGAGGTTAAAGGAGAATTATGGGGTGAGTGAAAAACTTTCATCCCCATAATTCAAGCCAAGCTGTCACAGGTCGGCTCTATTGATCAGAAAATCAGTGAAAACACACCGCGGATCACTGACTTTCTGATCCTCTCTCTGCAGAGATCCCCCCACCCCCTCTCCGTTTCTCCAGCACTGACTGGATGAACGGATGGGGGTTGGCACATCTGGCTCTGCCTCTAGAGAGCTGTCAATCAGCCAGCGGGGTGGCTCTTGACAGTATTGTTGAGATCCATACGGCCTGTGGCGCTCTCACCATATAGCGGGCAATAGCCTACTATATACTGAGACATGGGAGGACACAGTATATGTCCTCCCGTGACCCTGAAGAGAACTATGGGCAAAAAAGGTTGCCCCATAGTTCTCCTTTAATGCATTCAATGCAAAATATGGACAATGCCTTTAAATATTGCTGCCAAATAAAAAGTGCACAAGGCTTAGCAGCAGTATGTGAGGCTTTACAACCGTTTTAAGACTGATCCCTTGTACCCTGGAAAGCAACCAAAGTAACAAGATATCTTGTATTCTCCAGAGGTATGTCTGCTGCTACCCTATTAATCTCAGCCAGAAAAACACTCAGAAGATATACATAGAAGAGTTTATTTTATACTGAAACAATGAAGTTGCCAACAGTTTCTCCCATTACCACATTCTGTGGACATAGCTCATTACTGCACTGCACAGAATATATGTAGTCACTTGCCAATAATGGGACTGCAGCACCCACTGCTACATGGTTCAGCAATTTCGTATTGCACCTGCCGTGCTACCTTCTGGTGAAATCTAGAAATGCCACTTCAGTTACAGTGATCCTCAGAACCTATCATGATTGTGAAAAAAAATATGGTGGCCTAATCCACACTGA